CCGCCCGCGCGGGAAGCGTTCGCAGCAGCGTTGACCCCCTGCCTAGTCATCGACCCCGCCCCAGCGTCGTAGAAGCCTCCCTCGCAGATGCAGTCTGCCTGCGACGAGCTGCCCCGGAGGGAGGTCGAGTGGGTAGGACAGCCCGTGCATCCCGTCGCACCCCAGGCCTCGAGAGCAGCAGACGAGCTGCAGTTACCGGAGCAGGAGGCGGCGCGTGACCCGTTGCTGTACGTGCCGGGCGGGCATGCTGAGCAGCTCTTGAGGCCTTTCTCAGGCTTGTAGTACCCCGGCGGACACATCCTGCAGGCTGCGTACCCGGGCGTGGTGTTTGACGTTGGGCCGGAAGGGACGACCTGCAAGCTCAGGTTGGGCCCAGGCACGAGGCTTCCGTTGCCCGGCACCAGCATGTAGCCTGCCTCGCATCCGCAGTCGGCTTGTGACACGCTGCCCGCCGCAGACGAGGAATGCGGGGGACAGGCCGTGCAGCTCGTCGCTCCGCCCTCGGACGCGTATGACCCCGCCGGACAGTTCGTACATGTCCCGTTGCCGGGCCCCGGCTTGTAAGTTCCTGGCTGGCACGGATCGCAGCCGAAGCGATCGAGGGGCTGCTGCCCGCCTGCGGAGACGTTGGCAAGCCAGCCAGGGCTGAAGCCCGGCAAGCACTCACAGTCGCTGATGGATGTGCTCTGTGCGGGAGAGGTTTGATGGCTACCGCATCTCTTACAGTACGTCGCTCCAAGCTCGTCGTTGTAGTGTCCTGCTGGACATGAGCTGCAGGCAGTGGAGCCATTCGGACTGCTGAAGAAGCCCAAGTCGCACAGACAGTCGTGTATGCTGGAGGATCCGGCTTGCGATTGCGTGTGCGACGGGCAGTGTTGACAGAAAGTAAGTCGGCTCTCGTTGTTGTACGTTCCTGGCAGACATGTGACGCAGTCACCACTCTTGGGGTCCATGTACATGCCGCTCATGCATTGACAATCGAGGATGCTGGTGCTGCCCGTAAGCCTGGACGTCATACCTGCGGGGCAGGCTGTGCAGGCGGTCGATCCCTGGAGGTCGCTGTAGGACCCAGCAGCGCACGGGCTGCAAGCTGGGCCCCATCGCCTTGCGCCCGACAGGTTGGCCAGCGGGCTGGCGTCGTAGAAGCCGGCATGACACTTGCACTCCCATACAAACGAGCTGCCTGCCGCCGAGACCGCATTGGCAGGGCACTGCGCACAGACGGAGGAGCCCGTGCCGTTGCTGTAGCTTCCCTCAGCGCATGGCCGGCAATCTGGCCCGCCCGCGCGGGAAGCGTTCGCAGCAGCGTTGACCCCCTGCCTAGTCATCGACCCCGCCCCAGCGTCGTAGAAGCCTCCCTCGCAGATGCAGTCTGCCTGCGACGAGCTGCCCCGGAGGGAGGTCGAGTGGGTAGGACAGCCCGTGCATCCCGTCGCACCCCAGGCCTCGAGAGCAGCAGACGAGCTGCAGTTACCGGAGCAGGAGGCGGCGCGTGACCCGTTGCTGTACGTGCCGGGCGGGCATGCTGAGCAGCTCTTGAGGCCTTTCTCAGGCTTGTAGTACCCCGGCGGACACATCCTGCAGGCTGCGTACCCGGGCGTGGTGTTTGACGTTGGGCCGGAAGGGACGACCTGCAAGCTCAGGTTGGGCCCAGGCACGAGGCTTCCGTTGCCCGGCACCAGCATGTAGCCTGCCTCGCATCCGCAGTCGGCTTGTGACACGCTGC